AGCTGATTTTCTTTGCATTTCGCAAGGATCGGCGAAGGAGTGTAGATAGGATATTTGGAGGATCCGTGATAAGGGTGAATTATGTCACTATCGATGAACTGTTGTTGAGAAGGTCATGTGATCCCATGCTTATGCAGGATGTGCAGCGCTTTTTCCAGTCGCATGATCGCTGGAGGGAAGCAGAGTGTGTTCTTGCTAGTTGCCCAACAGAGAGAGCTAGTCGACTGTAGAGACGCAGACGCAGATAGAGTCGACGCGTGGCAGCACTGCTACGTTTAGTGGATTGCGTCCTGGTGCGAATGCAGCGTACGTCACCCCGCTTGCAGCCCCTATTTTTACCGCGCTCGCAGCGACGGATGAATAAGTTTCCTTACCCATGTATCTTCCTGGGTCGAGGGCCAGACTTGGCAGAACAGAGACGACCACAGTTATCACGGTCTATTCCCACATAACAAAGACCTGCCCCATTGCCGCTCTCAATTAGGTTTGCGAGGGAATTTCAAAGTTACAGTTTTCAGGACAGGTTAATACAAATCAATAGATCATTTTCAGTTCGCACATGGTCACACGGCTGTAAGTGTTGCCGAAAAAGTTGAAGATCTTTGCCCACACTGTGAACGTTTGGCAAGGCAGACGGCGACCAGTCCAGAACAACCGCAGAGGGTGAGTGTCATTTTCTGAAATTTTTGGAAATCCATATATCACAGCGAGTCCACACTTCACGGTTAGGCAGCGTTCAGACTTCGCGACGGCAGCGCTTCGACGCGATCGATGCAGTTGAAAGCATGCGCATCGATCGCGCCGAACGCGCGACCGAGGCGCTGCCGTCGCGAAGTCTGAACGCTGCCTCACTGGGCAAATACATTACCTGTTGCACCATTGTGATCGCTCGTCATCACCAAGTCTGAACGCTCTCGTCATCGCAAAGTATGAACGTTGTCTATGGATATTTGTCTTGTGCTCTCCCTTGGGACGACGTCGCGGAAGAGGAGGCAGGAAGTGGAAACGGGGATTAGCAGTACATTTTGTGAAGTCCTCTCATTCCTTCTCTCGTGTGAACACAATGTGTGCTTCCAATGACCCACCAACAGCACTCGTAATGACCAACCAGCAGCCACTTCGTTCCTACTTCCAGCGTTTATTCCACGTCCCTGACGCACTAGCGAAATAAACACAAAATAAATTGGAAATAAGAAACAAAAATGGTTAAATATTTTTTTTTGCAGCAATCTCTCGCCCTCGCCTCAGCAACATGTACACTCACCGAAATCATGGTCTCAGGATGTCCACGCTGTGTGCTTCGAAAGCTACGACACGATCTTTGATGTTCGATGGCAGGCTTGCGCGAATCAGTGAACACGCCGTCGACAATAGAAGCTTGAGGTAAGCAACCGCCCGGTCCCGGAGGACGCGATTTCCAGCGCGCGTCGACTAGAATAGATTCCCGGTGACTCTCCCAGCATCCGATTCGCCTGAAGTAGAAAGTAGGAATCAGCAGCGCCGAAAACATGTAAGAGTCAATCCTTTTTCCCTGGAATTCATTTTGCGTAATGGATCAAGCGGTCAACAAGAGAAGGATTGCCCCCCCCTCCAGCCTAGATGCGATTTCGATGTGATGTGATTTCCCTTCGCCTTGAGTATGACCCCCCCCCCCGGGTCCACTTCGGTAACCCATGGTTTGTGGATCGGCTACTCAGCCTTACTACAAACGACTATCATGGTCCCTCCACCCCGGCTCATTGCAGTTGACCTCCAATCAGTGAGGGTCGATAAAGTTGACCGTATGAGGGTGAGTTTTCTTTTCTCCCGTGCGAATATGCTGCCACTCCACCTTCCCCGAAAGGATAGGGGGGGGGTGGCTTGAAAATGATTGGCGCACGATCACGAATGTAGCAATCTTCAAGTTGTTGGTGGAGCGAGCTAGCAGTAAGCGGCGTTCACAATATAGTCGTTCTCGCAGTGCACGCTGGAGCTGAGGGGTGGGGTTTGTCGCCAGTCGTTTTCCACCAGTTTTTGTCGGTTGCCCGCTCCAACGATTGGTAAAGAACGGGCTACCGCCGCGCAGGAAAATATCCCGTGACACGCCCCCGCATCTGCACCCGGAAAAGGCTGTATTCCCTGTTGTGATTGGTCATGTCATCGCCTCGCTGGATCTCCTTCCACCTCTAACAAAGTTCTTGATTAGAAGTCATGGAGACCACATATTCTGTTGGAATTCTGAAATTTGTTGCTTCCTCTCCATTCGAATCCGAAATCGATTTTTGTTCATGATTCAGGAAGATAAAGTTCCGAAGAGTGAGGTGACGGGCAAGGCGGAGCAATTCAGTGTCACTTCTGCATTGGAACTCCTATGTAATGCAGGTCCCAGTGTCACTGTAAGTTTTAGGAAATATCGCACATCAGATTATTATGTTTTGTCTGCCTCTGGAATTCTGCATACACCTAACCGGTTGTTTCGTTACGCAATTTTCATGAGCAAATAATCGATCGATGGCGCGCAGCCGCGCGCGTCATCTTGTGTTAACTCTAAACACCTAGAACTTCTCTCGCTAGAGAGGACAACTTTAACTTCTTCTCATTTTGAATTTCATGAAGAATTATTGCTCACACTCGTTCAAGGCTCATGACGACTTGGACTTGGACGTGACAGCCGCAGAACGCACTGGCACACCACGGCCGTCGAAGCGAATAGCTCGAATAGAGAAATTAGGATTGGAGACGTTCACATGTCAGGTAGGAGCTTACTAGATGCCATCGTAAGGCGCGCGGCGGCGTCTCTACGTCCATTCCCTCACCAGAGCCCGGGTTCAGAGCGCAGACGACCAGAGTCACCGCGGGCTGCTCACCATCAGTGTCCTGGTATACTCTGCACCCTCTCTTCTGCAAAGCATTCTGTGGGATCTGCAGCCTCCCTCACACATTCCAACTTTCCACGTGTGGTAAGGGGCTCGTTGTATTTCCTGGCTGACCACCTGTTCCTTCGCGGTGTTCTTTTATACCTGTCAGGAGAGGTTTCCAGGTTGATTCTGGAATGAGAGAGCAACGCGCATCCCACCAGCCACCCTCCGCCCAGGTTGCAGCGGTGGTGTTGCGCGCGATGGGGATTTTATGTGCGTTTACGGAACCGACACATTTAAGGCTACGCGCAGTTTCGAGATACTGTATGCCCTTAGTTATCCTTAACGTAATATCTTATCCTTTCGACTACCTTAGCGACGCTCATCATTCTCCTTTTTCCTTTTTGCTCTCAAAATGAACAAACCGGGGATTAATAGATAGGAATGGAGACAAAATTGACAGCGTGAACATATTTTGGAAATCTTTTCCCACATGTGGATTGAGCCTCATTGCAACCGCACGCAACAGTTTCGCTTTAGATGCACAGTTTACCAGTAGCTTTCAAGATTTGGATATTTCAGCTATGTAAGAAGTCTATTACACGGCAAGGGCAGTATGCGAATCTAGTCAACCATCTCTCAAGGCATGCACGTTTGCACGCATCCAAGAAGCAGTACTGGTAAGTTTTCCAAATATAGAACAAAAGGCAGCATTCAGATTTCGTGATGAGACGCGACGACGCGCTGTAATGAGCTGTAGCGCGCCTCGATGCGCTACAATTGCAAAAATGCTCCAGTCTTGTAGACTCGAACGCAGGCACAGACGACAATCGATCGGGGCCTGCCGCTTGTGTTCTGAGATAGTATAGGATAACAGGAGGATAGGCGCTGCCTTCACACAGGCTTGTGCTCTCCCATTCTTCCATACTCTTCCGAATCCCTAGCGATCAGAGCCGGTCGATACCAGACTGGGTGATTAGGCAAAACAACAGTCTTTCGAAACACTGACGGCCGCGGCCAATCGATACTCGTCTGCGGCTAGCATTGGAGCGCTGCCGCAGTTGTCGCGCATCGACGCGCGTTACAGCGCATTTCAGCGCATCGAGACGAAGTCTGAACGCTGCCTAATGGACCAGATTTGACCAGCTGTAGAACATAGTCAAGGCCGGATAGAATCCTCTCATAAGTAAGTACGGTTCGAAGAAATATTCCAGTTGTCCGGTGTGTCGAGCATCGTTCTCACGAAGGTATCTGGCGTACGCACATGTGAGGGAAGCCCATACAAAGCATGGATATGTTGAGCCAGTAGATCACGGGTGAGGCTACATTTGATGGAATTATTTTTATCTACTGCAGTAATCTTTTGAATTTTGGCTACTTATGAAATGCTGAACTAGACAACAGTGCTCATTCAGTGCTTACTATAGTCCATTCATTACAGAAGAGAACTTCGTGAAGAATATCGTTCTCTGCTGGAAGTTTGCTTTCCGGGTGCAAGTACTCGACGTAAAACCGCGTCGCATCTGTCCACTGCCAACAAAGGAAATCGCACAGACAAGAAAGGGAAAGGTACGGCTCATACTGCGCCAACCTACAAGGACGAACTGTCACGTCTGCTAGAGTGATGACTTTTTTTGCGGATAGATTACCTCCATTTTGGTGGGGGCAGGGAGGGTGCTCAACTGCGCCTGTCGCTGAGATAGTGACCACACCGTTTTTCTCGGCTTGCCTTTGCACCAGCGCAGTCGACTAGAGTCAGGCAGCGTTTAGACTTTGCTTGGTGCGCGTCGACGCGTTACTGTTGCAGGAGCGCTTCAATGCGGTAGCCGGGAACGAAGCTAGAGCTGTATCGCTCAGCGACGATCACTAGTGTACTGGGAGAGAACCTGAGAGTCACATTACGGTTCGCTATTCTGTTACTCTCCTATACTCTCCAAAACTTAAGTCACACACACTAGCGGCCGGTGCCGATGAATATCCGTCTATGCCTGCTGTTCTCGTCCACTGCGCTGAAGCGCCATTACAACGGTAGTGCGTCGGCGCACGTCATCGCAAAGCCTGAACGTTGCCTAACCGCGGTTTGGTGTCGCCGCCTCGCTTCCCCTTACGTTTTCGGCAAGAGATGTATGACGTTACTTCCGAGTCGAGAGCGAGCGCGACGAGAAGAGCGATTGCAAAAGGGTTAATCAGTTGACTCAGCATTCGCACCAGGATCCTTTATGTGACAGCTCGACAGCGTCACGTAAAGTGAGTAAGTCTCTATGACTGTGTCTCTCTCGTCAACTGTGACAGCTAGTTGACTCTCCGTGTTCGCGCCTATCACGTTCGAAATCCCTGAGATCGGGTAGGCGGGGCTGCATTCTTCAACTTAACCTGAAGGTGTCTATGCTTCTGGTGGAATATTTCCATCTTGACACAACTGTTGTCGTGTCTCTGTCCAACACAGAACAAGATGACAGTTGTCCCAGACTGGAATATTCCACGAGTAACCAATTCCGTGCCATGTTCAAATGCCACGCCTACTCTGGCTCAGGGATAAGGAGTGTAGCTATGGAAGCGTAGGGTGCTGCGTATCCGAAGTAACGACTTACATCCTTTGATAAGAAAGAAGATTCCTTCGCAATTTCGTCTACCTATCTCTTTGCTTTCGACCCTCAATAGTTTTCATTAAGCATTTTTTCAATATAGTCAGTTAATTTTCATTCTGAATGATTTTTCTTTGCGTTGTTGCGTGTTGGAGAAGTCATGTTCGTAGAATTGAACGCGCTAACGTATTCAGGAAGAATAACCACTCCGCAGCACCTCTTCGTCTATTCCCTAGCCAAGGGCTAGGCTAGAGCGTAGACGGTCAGAGTCGCATAGAGAGTGTCTGCTCTGCAAGAGTAATCCGGGGCGATACCGACCGTCCGCCCTCTGAACCTGATCCTTGACTAGGGAAAGACGCTGTAGATTAGTACCCATACCCCTCCCCTCACACATGCGTTAGCGTCGATTCCATTATTTTTTTTTCGAAAATTTCAAACTCTGTCGCTCACAGCTCCAGTGCTGCGATCTCCAGATACCCTTGTATTAATCAGACATCAACACTGTGTTACCGGTGATTCCTCCAGTGATATAAGATATTTTTCGTTAGATGCTATCAGTTTCGATCCATTTTTCCATATTTATGATGCTTATAACGTCAATAGGTATTGTTGATAGATATTAACCGGTTACCCTCGTTTTTGTTGTTGTTTATGATTTTCTATTTGTTGTGTCTATCAATCCCTCAGGCTTTGAGAACAATGAAGTTATTTGAACCATAGTAAGTATTAAACCAACATCAGCTTGAGGGACTTAAAGGCACATTTCACGATGGTCAAGTAGGCGGAGACTCATGACTTGATCCCTTTCCTCTGCGCTCCTCCTTTACTGCATTGAAAATGAAGCGCTCCTACGAGAAAGGAAATGGATTGGCCATGCCATTATCGCATAATGTGCCTTTCCGAGCGTGATGACGCCCTTAATTGGTGCAGAATCGCTGAGGCGATTACATGGGTCTTGACTGTTTTCGACTTCTGCTTTCTCATGTTCTGTTATGAGTTCTCAGGGAGCAAGAAGCTGGCGGTAATGGAAGCATTCAGGAACATACCGGGGAGAGGTACAAAAGGCGAAGAACATCCGGTCTGAGGTCCCTCAAACGTCGAAGGCTCGAAGACCTGGACTCCGCGCAGGCAGGGTGAACACGCTGAGTGCTTTATCCAGCGCACTGCGGTGTGGTCGAAGCTTGAAATCTCCCGCTACACGCAAAGGTAAGGAGCAATCCTGCAATCCCAAACCCCTTCGAGGGTGGAAGATCAGGGACCGTATCTGGGAGTAATGCTGCGTTCAGTCTAGCGATAACATGTGTCGTTGCGGTGAGGCTCCAATACAGCTCTGCGTGAAAGGAATGGCAGAAGCTTTATACCTCTCAATTGAGATGGACCCCTGGACTGCTCGGGCTTGCAAGGGGCCAGTGGTGTTGTTACCAGCGCCGAGGAATCAGATGATCAACGCGAGGGGAGGTGACAGAACCTGTAGCGAGTTTATTACCATAAATGCTTATCTATGGGCAAATTTTTGACCCCGAATGGGACTCGAACCCACACCTCACGCTTATCGCTTAAGTGCGCTATCTATTAGCCGCTACTACCCTTTCAGCTTGATGGCTGAGTGAGCCTTATTGTTAGAGATGTTGGCAGTGAGCCGCAAAACTGAATGCTTTACAAAATTGTCAGGTTTATTGTAGAAATTTGCTAGAATACTGTACAAGGCTATAACAGTCACAGTTACAAAGCATGCGAAAAATTGACGAGAACTGTTTGTTTGTTTGTGGAACGCTTTAGAGATTAGCAACAGATCACGTTTTAATGCCCACCTTTGCACATCCTCCAAGGTCAACGGTGGAAGATCAATTCCTTCCAAAATGGACCTCTTTGTAAAAGCACAAAGGAATAAATAAGGTAACACAGAATGACATTGTAACCCACAGTCTAGGTAAACCTTGATCATTGCTGATGCAGTACCGTTTCAAGGGGTTGGCTTTGACGTGGCGCCAGGCGCCATGCTCTCCACCAATTGTAGTCGCCTACCAGCTTCCGAAACTGATGAAGGACAGGCTAGTGTCGCGCTAAACCCAGAGACGTTGAAACGCCCCAGCGCAACGACCAAAACTGTAATCTTAGATGCTGTAGGCTAAAGTTGGACAGAGCGCCACTGACACATTGTACGCTTACGTACGAGGTTGATTTATCGGCCAGGTGGGCGGGCTCGAGCTGTAAAGCCGTAGCTGCGCACAACAGCTGCAACCTGGGAGTGCGTTTCAGTGCAGTTGGAGGGTCGCGATTGCTGGATCATCTTAACGGTCTTCTGTTCGAGTCGAGCAGGCTACAGATACACAACACGCCACATGCCTGACCATATCCACACTCACTACTTGCGTCTTACTTTGCTCGGCTGCAGCGCTTTTCTTCGTTACAGCTTGGCTTAGGCGCCCCCGCACTTTGTGGGCATGCTTTCACACGTTGGCCCACGGCATTATTCTCCAGGACCCTACAGCAAACCTATCGGCACTACACTCGTCACGTGCAGCGTGCGCTATAATTGATCTGTAAGGAAAAGTGAGAATGCAAAACGTGAAAGGCAGAGAGCACGCCGGGCCTTACTAGACTTATGACGGTCGTGCGGCGTGTTGCGTGTCTGTGGCGTGCTTAGCTTGCAAGTGGAGATAGAAGAACAACCCGCTACCACAACCGACCAGGTTCTAGCCATGCACTTCCGAATGGAAAAATACTCCATCTGAAAAAGTACCTTTATGAAAAAGAACAACCTCTCATATAAGCGTAGGTATAGGTGTGTCTTTGCCCACTTCAGAAGTTACAGCTACGAAAGAAAGATACACTCACTAGGACTGATCAAGGCGTCATATCCATATCTTATTGTAACTGTTAGGAATCAGGTAGACAAATATACGGCACTATTTGAAGTAGTCAAACTCTATGTCACTCTAGAACGCTAATCTGAGACCTACCTCCGATTTAAATTCTAAATATTCCGAAATGTCTCAGATTCCTAGATAATACCATCCTAGGGGCTATCGGGAAATGAGCAGCTATTATTACAGGCCTCGTTGGCCTCATTTTAGCAAAACTCTGACTCATACAATGAAATTTACAATTTTACATCTACAACAACAAAGTTTCATATCCTAGACACCTGGCCTCGCGATCGCAGAACAACTTCTTGGGTACAACTCAACAAAAGTACTCCATCTTCGCTCCACAGCTTTCCCGTAGTGAACGCTCTTCCTCTACCTGAATTACAGAAGCTGTAACGTAATGATCACTCAATTTGCTTCGCTACGGATGAAAGGGCGTGTCAAGTTCAGGTTTGGCGCCGCGCCAAAACCGTTTTTCACCTGTTGTTGAAGCGAGCAAGCAGCAAGACCGTTTCATATCGTTTTCATCGGTCGTTTTCCACCAGATGTTGTCGCTTACCCGTTTTACAACTGGTGGAGAGCGGGTATGGCACCGAAAACCCACCATCTGACACGCCCCTTCATTCGCAGCGTACAGGACTGTAGTCGATCCCACGAGCGCGTTCACACTTTTGCGCCTCGAGCGTTCTAGTTGCGCGATTCGCAGTCCACCGCTAGTCGTTGGACCGCTGTAGCTGCTCAGAGAACTCTTTTTGAATATGAGTAAGCATTTTCAGTGGTCCAACGGCTGGCAGCGGAGCACGGTCGATTGCAGTTGCGAATCTCCCGAACCGCTACAGTCGCGAAATATGAACAAATTAGCGCAGGAAAATAATGAGCCATAGGCGGACTTGTTGAAGCTGAAAGTTGGGCACCAAAAAGAAGTCATTATCAACTAAAGTTCGGTTGGAAACTTGGGTGCAGTTCGGCCTAGGGGGGGAGACACCAACGGTACTCAGGAAAGCTTGAACCAGTCACGCTGTAAAAATATGCTTTATGTCCGTGACCAATGTGGCTAGCTAAAGCTGAAAGATGAGACAAAATGAGTGTTAATCAGTTGATTTGACTGAAAACTTCAACGCGCTCAGCTTTGAGGGCACCCAAAGGTACTCAGTGAAGCTCGAACAGGCCATCTTGCGAAGACCTGTTGATGCTTGTGATCAAACATGTGACAAATGTATGACTGGCCACCATTTTAAAGCTCCACAAGAGTTTACAGGTCACACCAAAATGAGACTGGAAGATAACATGAACCAACAAAATGGACTAGTGAAAGTGCATAACGCCCCTACCAAGCCGAACAGCGCCGAAACATTGATTAGCATCATAGATATAAAAATGACGAAGGAAAGAAACAGAAAAGCTGAGGGAACTCGCCCGCAACAGTTGAAGTATTCTCGAATAACATCCAGCGGTCAGCCCGCATTTCATGCTTATGCATCCAGACATTGTGGTCAAGTGAGAACAGCATACTTGGATGAAAATCGTTGCTAAATGAGGCGATAAACCATCAAAATTCTTTAAGAAAACCATTAGCCATCGAAAGCTCAGCTTACACATGATGGGGCCGATAAGCCGATCCAGCCATGGTGGCATCGGTCGTGTACGCAACTAAATACCTAAAGAAAACTTAGTAGGTGAACTTGTCACTAGTCGAAACGGTGTTACTCACCTATGCAGTTTTTCGCAATCTCCGAGATCTCCTCTGGATTTAAACCACGCATAAAATGTTCTTGATTGTTGGTTGTTATCACCAAATCCCAAATGGCGTTCAATGTCTGTTGGTCTTATCTAAACAGAAGAATCACGTTAATTATCCTTTGAAGGCAAGTAAGGGAGCGTCAAAATCGTAAGTAATGCGGCAATATTCACCAATAATACACTCTGAAAGTGCAGCAGTTGGTGGAAGAGGGTGCCCTGACTGCGCTCCAGTCCACGCCCCTCGCGTGCCTTTTCGCTTGCAGGGATAATGGCTGGGTTGGGATAAAGGTAGTTGTGAAGCAGCAGAATTGGGTCATCTTACCTGCTCATCTGCGCCATCTCAACAGCTATTTTTGGCCAGAAACACCCCCCCCCCCAACAGTTTCAGCTTTGCAGAACGCTGGCGAGCAGAAAAGGGGCGTGGATTAGTTTGGCTCTCCATCACGGTGTCCCCATCCCCTAGCATTGCCCCGGTGTACTAACGTTTTGAAACCATGGAAGAAAGTGTTGAAAAAAATAAACAACGACATATTCAGAGCCAAATAAGAACAGTAAGCCCTGCTCATACTTTGCGACGAGAGAATATGGCGATCAGCGAGTAGACGTTCAGGGAAGGATGCGCGTCAAAGGTGTGATGGGCATAGATCACGCCTGTCCCTGACATTTCGGTAGAACAGGAGAACAGAGAACTGCTTAATGGAAGAATAGAAAAATCGGAGAACGGGTTCGATGGAGCCTTACCTACTCCTCTGGGCACGTTCATACTTCGCGATGACGCGCGCCGCTAAGAGGCCTGCCATGGCAAACCCTGAACACGACCGAGTTGAAAACACTAGCCGCTAGTATTTTGAGGAGTATTGGATACTGGGAGCATAGATATTGCCCAAACACACTTCTCGTATCGATCGACGCCGGCCGTTAGTGCCTTGGGAGAGTATAGGAAAATAGGAAGGTACCAGACTGTTTGAACGCAACGCTTGCCCTCATTTTCTCCTACTCACTCTCAAAACACTAGCGGGTGGCACCGATCGATACCCTTCTATGACTGTGCGCCCGTCTATAGCATTAGGGCGCTACCACGCGCTACGACGCAGGTCATCGCGAAGTCTGAACGCCGCCTGCGGCGTCCATTTTCCTGACGCACACTTTCTTTTATTCTCATATTCCCCCGATTCACAGATCTATACCTATATCTGTTAGCGTATATTCACCCATTCTTCTGTGTCGCAAAGTATGAACGCGGCCTAATTCGCATAAGAATCAGCATATTCGAAAGACCATGCAACTGATAAAAATACCTAGACAAGTCGTACCTCGAAGAGTTCACCATCCTGATTGGCACGACTGTCGTAAGACTTCAATCTTCGTTCAACTACTGGTTTCACTTGGAGTCTTCCTGAAAAAGAGTTCCATTTATTTATCCCGGTTGATAACAGGCACTAGTTACTGAATCGGTGATTCCCCTATTTCATGTTGCTGCTGCGGAACACGGCCTGGGAGGTTAGGAGAATCGGAAAAACAAGAGGAACTCACTTCAAAGTTCGATACGTCCCGATCAGCAGATTGAAAAAAATAGAGAGTCACGGACCCTTCGTAAACGCAGATACGTAATCAAGCCAAGTCAGAATACGTAACCTTTTGGGGAGCCCCAGTGGTCCTGTCAATACATTCCTATTCTCATTCGATTATTTTCGATTCTCGAGATGACATACGATTAGCAATGTCCGACAACAATTCTCACCGAGCGCAATTACAACTCTAACGACAAATGGTGGTAGTTCAGTCCAAAAATAATAAGAAAAAAAAAAAATAAAAAAAAAAAAAATAGGGAGGGGAGGGGGAGGGGGAGGGAGCTTTGTTCACGTTCGCTGACTTCTTTCGCTAGGTCCTGTTGAATCAAACTTGCCAAAACCTGTGAACTCTCGCGAATTGTCAACGAAGCCCACGTTATGGCATAGCATCACAAGAATAAGGCCTTCATAGGAGGAATCGACAGTAATCGATGGGAATCAGCAAAATGCCTCCATCAAGCCAAACTGTGCATAACTTTACCTTCCGTGATTTCGGTCATCAACCATGGTATTAGATCAGTCATGGATTTCAGCTCTTTCCATGATGGAACATCTGGCATCACGTCTTGATGAACTGCCGCATCTGGTTCAAGCTGGAACGTATGTTGTTAAGAAAATCAAAGAATATATCAGGAACTAGGAACTGTTAGCGACAGGATTCTAGCGATGTCCTATCAAAAACAGAACTCATTTTATAAATTAAACTAAATAAGTGTGTGTTTATATTGCGCGACTATTCGCTTGATTAGCGTGATTGCGATTTGAGCGACTGGTCGCGAAGTAAGAACGCATTTCAGCATTCAAAACTATGCGCTATTTGAAGTAGAGGTACTGGTGGACAGGGGGGGGGACGCGCCGAGATTTGGCTGCGTCGCTTCAGATGATCTACTCTCAAGTAGAAGAATAAATATTCGAAAAAGGTACTTCTGGAGTTCCTGGCTCACTCTGTAGGATACCGTGACATAGCGCACTCCAGCACAATTTCAAAAACCGTACAAACGTTCTAAACTCGAATATCTAATTCGATATAATCTCATTTTTTTCGGGGGAGGGGGTGTGGTTCGTACCGAGACTCCCTTGGTATGGGGCCCCTATTTAACAGAAATTTTACACAGCACAATGGTGTTCTCTAGTCATAGCTGGGGACAATATTGACGCCATGGGATGGATGCCATGGACTAACCCATCTGATGGGTCAAGCCAACCAGCCAAGGTAGGTCAATTTGTGCGCGATGCTGCGTCTTGCGTGTGATGAGCTGCACCCGCACGAGCGAGCCCGCTCGTTCGCGCAGCTCACAGCCATCCCCATAATTTGGAACTATAAATAATGGGAAGTTCAAAATGGTGACCGCTGCAGCCAAAGAGATATAGAAGTAAAAAAATGCCAAAATCTCTGCAATAAGTCTTTTACACGCTTACCACATGGAATGAGACTTGCATAGTAAACACGATTTTTCCAGCTTGCACTGCTTCAACCGTACGAGTACAGAACGATCGACCATCTCGCACTCGCCGTACATGATACTGTACTGGTAAAGAAGTATCTACTGTAAAACAGTGAATGAAAATGGTTTTGTCACGTAGTCAGCATAAAATCAGATCAGCAGTACTTCTGTATATTGCTCGCGATTTCGTTTAGACTGCTGTCTTTTTTTAATTAACACACACTGCTTAGATAATTGTTGAAAGTTTGATGGATGTTCATTTAGACCTTTTTTGGAGAGATAGTTCCGATCCGTTTACAGCGCAGTTTGACGACGGG